TATAATTTATATGTAGTTTTTATTCTAGTCAAGACCATGCTCATTACAATAAAAATTGTTTACAAATATCTTTAGTTCAGAGATAGTTTCTTTTCAGAGTCACAGTGTCTAATATTTTTTGTTCAACATACATGATCACATACAAAAGTCATGGGAATAACGTCAGAAATCTAAGAAATGTTTGAATAAATCAATGTTGTCTGCATGAAAATATAAATATCAACATATTACGTTTGGTTTTCATCAGAGAGTCCTTGAAGATAATCTGCTGATCCTCACTATAGAAAAACAACAAAATAGCCAGTCCTTTGAATATGGTGGAGGGCAAAACCTTCTTACCACCACTTATTGAGAACTCTGCTGGACTACATTTCCTTAATACGCCTGTGTAAAATAAACCAAAGGGGTACATTGAAAAATGTCACGCATTTGATAAAAGAAAAAAGGTGCCAATGTTAAATGTATGAAAAATCTACAGAATCATTTCTTGCCAAATTTAAATGGCTTACATCTTGAAAATGAGGACATTTTTTTCGCCATCGAGCATGTTCGCCATTGAATGACCTCCCGATTGAATTCTTCTAAATTACATGCCAGGTCAGTCTCGTATGTCTCAAACAATGTTGCGATTTGTTTGTTGGTTATATTTCCTACAACACGAGAAAGCAGATACTGTGCAAAGAAGCGATTTTCTGAAGATATCATTTTTTTCTGCTTGAATTACAAACTATCGGATAAGGACCGAATTAACGACAAATCTATCCTTGTTTTAATAAATGCCTCCCCTTCAGAGATGCAAAATATGACACCCTGAGCGACACATTACATTTCAATGTAAAATTTACTTTAAAAACCAATAAATTTTGACTAAGAAGCTGGCATTTGGTTAAATTCTATGATAGGAATTAGTTTCTTTATAAATTATACGGGAAAAAATTGCCAAAAGTAGTTTTATATCCTGAATCATGCATATGAAGTCTCAAAATCTGCAACACAGAAAACTAGCGGTACCGGCATTGTCATCATAATACTCAAAAAAGTATCTATATACAGAAGAATACAGCACTGGGCTTACCGCATCGCGCGTAGCGCAGCGAAGGTTGGCATCTGATCGCGAGGTGTTATACACCAGCGGCAGCATGTTCGCCATCGGGCAACCTCCCGAATGAATTCTTCTAAATTACATGCCAGGTCAGTCTTGTATGTCTCAAACAATGTTGCGATTTGTTCATTGGTTATATTTCCTACAACACGAGAAAGCAGATACTGCGCAAAGAAGCGATTTTCTGAAGATATCAAACGCGACTCCAGTTTCATTATCATGTGGTCTATGAACGCAAAATATAATGAAACTTTCCAATACTGTTTTGGCTTGTTTGCAGCGTGATTGGCTCTGGTAGTCTGTCGACCACATGGCCTCGTCATATTTATTCATATTTTGTTTTGCCCTTTTTTCAGCATGCCGATGTGCACGCAACTGCATGTTGGCATATAGGGAGCTAGGTGTCTGGGAATTATTGGAATCTGGAATAGTTCTGAATTCTGCAAAATTGATAAGGAATGTATGATGAAAACTAACCCTATTAAGGACGGTTGGCCATGCATACAAGGCTGAGTGGGCTAAGTTAGTTCATATTGAAATATCAGTGATAGTAAAATGAATCTTATGTATAACTTACAACAAAATTATTTTTATTTACCTGTGTACGTTATTTTATTTGGTGGCATTTTGTCCAAGGTTACCGTTGTCTTTCTGATATTGTTTTACATCTAACCCCCTTGATATGTCTTTTAATTGAGTTAAGCCATTGCAATTGACATTTTATAGTGTGTTTCTATGTTGTGATGTTACACTATTGTTTCAGGTATGGTGAAGGTTGGCGCCTATTAAAACGTTTAAACCCGCTGCATTTGTTTGCACCTGTCCTAAGTCAGGAACCTGATGTTCAGTGGTTGTCGTTGTTGATGTGGTTCATAAGTGTTTCTAGTTTCTCAGTTTTTATATGATTAAAACATTGGTTTTCTGTTTGAATGGTTTTACACTAGTCATTTTTGGGACTCTTTATAGCTTGCTGTTCAGTGTGAGCCAAGGCTACATGTTGAAGGCCGTACTTTGACCTATAATGGTTTACTTTTACAATTGTGACTTGGATGGAGAGTTGTCTCATTGGCACTCATACCACATCTTATATCTACTTATGGTTAGTTTTCATTATACATTTCTTATCAATTTTCCAGAATTCAAATTTATTTCAGATTCCAATAATTCCTTGTTTGCAGTTTAAAATGTATGACAATGAATCACATTAATCAGAGACATATATACATGTATATATGTCTCTGCTTTAATAAGAATAATAAAAGAGTTAATCTTTAATTGTAAATCCCAGTTAATTAGTGTTTTCCTTTTTCAATTTAAATTCATAAAATAAGGCAGAGAAATTGAAAAGTGTCTATTTCATTTTCAGATAACAATTCCTGTGCCTGCATAAAATAATTGTATGATCAATTCTGTAACAGTAATCAAGATTCAAGGTGTAGGTCAAGCACCTGACCCTGGAGACCTTTTTTTTCTGATCGATTATATCAGGGTTTTTTTTTATCTCTAGTTGTTCCTGGCCGGCCATGACCGTCTATGAAGGGGTGTATTTAGTCAAAGTTGGTTTGGTTGTATTTAGGATAATAAATATACATAGGAATTGTATGATTTTGAATTATGTATGCATTGCAATAATAGTATTTGTGAATATTTATATAATACAATCTGGCGTCCATCGAGCATAACAGGCTGTCAGCAAAGTAAGATTATGTTTGTGTTGTGTTATATTTGTAGTTAATGCACAAAATCATCTTTTGTCTTTCTCATTCCCTAGTAAGGTCCTACCCTAGAGTTTAGCTGGCATTGACAAAAGGACTCAGGTTCATAAAAGTGGGTTTTTACTTGGTCAGCCACGAATCATTGGAATGTAGTTATTTAGTTTTTCAAAATGAAATACATAAGGTTAAGATGAGATTATTTTTATAGTATGAGTTATTGAATTGATATTGTATAGTGTATTATATACTGTATAGTGTATATAAATAATATAAAGGTGTAATACCACCATTGATTTTCCCATATTAGTCTTTGTTAAATTTGCACTTTTCAAAAAATTGTGCAGAATTTATCTGTTTCAAATAAAGAAATACTTGGCATGAGTAAAGTTTTATCCTTTCCAGTACTATAAAAAATATTTCACATAACATTTCATGGCATATAAAAAAATAACCAACACTAGAAGTTAATTAATTAAATTTTCACTTTTTTAACCTGTGTACAAGCTTTAGTAACCATGTAACCTCAAGTTTCCAAAATATTCATAAACATTTATAGAAACCCCAAATAAAAAAATAATGGTGCTTTGAAATACCCAAGATATATGTTTATGACCCAGAAATGTTTTACTGCAATGAAATGTAGGATCAATTACCTACAACTGTCAAATTCAAGGGAATATTTTTTTCGACCTATTTTCATATGCAACCGGATGTAACGTACTATGATTTGGTGGTACTACACCTAAAGAAGACTTTTTTGTTAAATAAACTGAATGTGACTTTTTTCTTTTGTAATACTGGTTATTTCAAGCATTCCTGTCAAGTTCTGTCATAATCAGTTCAATAGTTTGAGAAAAATCTAGTATAATGTAAGACGACATCTACAGCTTTCTTTATAAAATCCAAACCAAGCTGCATCATGATGGAATATAGTGTGGACCAATAAATGATCAAATATTTATCTCATCTGCCTACAAACAGTTGAACATGATACAAAAGATGACTTTAGGATGATAAATATTACTAATGGACCTCTTTGTCTTCCTTATAAGGTCTCTTTTGGTCAATCATACCTCTCATTTCCTCAAAATTTCTACTTTTTAGGCCAATAAATAAAAATTTTGGTAACTTTCACTCATTTATGATAGAAATGTTATAATAAATGATTAATGATTAATGATTAATTTAACACCTAATGATATACACTATACACTATACAATATCAATTCAATATCTTTATATTATTTTTTTGTCTTATTAACCTGGCAGCTCACAAAATGCAGTACTCAAGCTAGTCAACAAACAAGAATGTGTCCATAATACATGGATGCTCCACTCATTTTCTATGTTCAGTGGACCATCACGTGAAATTGGAGTCAAAACTCTTATTTGGCATTTACAATTAGAAAGATCATACCATAGGGAATCGTAGGTGGGGCATAAAAATAAGTTTGTGCTGTGTTTTTCATCAAGTAGTTAGGTTTTTTGTAAGACACTTTATATTTACATAGGACATATATATCCTAAATTTTATCCTGTGACAAAATTCCCGAAACTTGAAACCCGATTAAATATATTGCTTAGTTTGTATCCAAATTTATTTTTATTTGTCACCGTCCATTATCTTTTACACAAATATTCACCTCTGAAACTTCTAGGCCAAATTTGATTAATCACTATGGTGTCTAGTTTACAAAATGTGTCCGATGACCAACAAGGGCAACATGGGTTTAATATAGAACATAAGGATAAAGGAGAATTTGTCTATTATCTTGAAAACCACTATAGATAGAGAAAATGACACCAATTTTTTTCCGTTATGCCTATTAGCCTGAAAACTATAATAGATAGAAAATTTATATACTAAAAATGATTAGCAAGACCAGATCCTTAAATAAGTTTACATGGTTTTATCTGTTTCTCAGGAACTATAAGCATGAGGGTCACTATATTTGGTGTAAAGTGTACATGTCTGTCTGGCAGATTTCATCTGACCTTGACCTCGTCATGAATCTATGAAAAGACCACATCAAAAGATCAATGTAATAATAATAAAATGCTTCGCTGGGGCGCAGCTTGATACGACCGCAGAGGTCGAACCCTGAACAGTTGGGGCAAGTATGGACACAACATTCAAGCTTGATACAGCACTGAATTTGGATTGTAATTAAATATTTGACACAGCATAGGTTTCTGACACAGAATGAATGTGGACTAAGAACTTAAAATTTTTAATTTACCTATTCAAACCATATCATTCTTATTTGCTTTTATATATAAATCAGAAATAACCAATTTAAAATGGAAAATTTTAAAGAAAAAAAAGGAAAAAAAAATCCCCCCCCCAAATTTTTTGAACCCCCTTATGATTCATCACCCCCAAACTCAATCCCAGCCTTCCCTTTTTGGTATGGTACCTTGCAGTACAATTTCAGAGAGATCCATACACTTGAACACAAGTTATTGTCTGGAAACTAGAAAAATGCTTGTTTTTTGGCCCCTTTTTGACCCCAAATTCCTAAACGTTTAGGGCAATTACCCCCAAACTCAAACCCAGCTTTCCCTTTGTGATATGGAACCTTGCAGTACAATTTCATAAAGATCCATATACTACACACAAGTACTTGTCCTGAAACTAGAAAAATGCTTATTTTTTTGCCCCTTTTTGGCCCCTTATTCCTAAACGTTTTGGGCAATTACCCCCAAACTCAATTCCAGCTTTCCCTTTGTGATATGGAACCTTGTAGTACAATTTCATAAAGATCCATACACTTACACACAAGTTATTGTCATGAAACTAGAAAAAATGCGTTTTTTGCCCCTTTTTGGCCCCTAATTCCTAAAATTTAGAGGCAATTACCCCCAAAATCAATCCCAGCATTTCCTTTGTGATATGGAACCTTGTGGTACAATGTCAGAGAGATCCATACACTTACACACAAGTTATTGTCATGAAACTAGAAAAAATGCCTGTTTTTTGCCCCTTTTTTGCCCCTAATTCCTAAAATTTGGAGGCAATTACCCCCAAAATCAATCCTAGCATTCCCTTTGTGATATGGAACCTTATCGCACCGCCGGTAAATTATCACGTTGTGATTGGTTTAACGCCGTCACGTGGTGACCCCCTATGGATCCGTAGGGGGTTAGTAAATTTCATAGGGGGTTCATGACGTCACGTCTACTGTTATTAGTGACGTCATCTATTAATGTTGTTGTGTTTAATTGTTTATTTCTCTACAAAACACAGCGGAAAAAAGTCTCGCGGGCGATAAATTCGTTATACGGTTAACTACTGACCCCCTACGGACCATAGAGGGTGAATAAAATCCACAGGAGATTCGGCCTTCGGCCTCACCCCTATGGATTTTACTAACCCTCTATGGATCCGTAGGGGGTCAGTAGCGAACCATATGATATAACTTATATTGTGGTACAATGTCAGAGAGATCCATACACTTACACACAAGTTATTGTCATGAAACTAGAAAAATGCTTGTTTTTTGCCCCTTTTTTGCCCCTAATTCCTAAAATTTGGAGGCAATTACCCCCAAAATCAATCCCAGCATTCCCTTTGTGATATGGAACCTTGTGGTACAATGTCAGAGAGATCCATACACTAACACACAAGTTATGTCTTGAAGTTACAAAAATGCTTATTTTTGGCCCCTTTTTGGCCCCTAATTCCTTTACTGTTGGTACCATAACCCCCAAAATCAATCTCCACCTTCCTTTTGTAGTATTGAACCTTATGGTAAAATTTCATAGAGATCCATTCACTTAAACTAAAGTTAGAGTGCGAAAACCAATGTGTCTTCGGATGACGACGACAACGCTGACGTCGACGACACCAACGTCATACCAATATACGACCTCAAAATTTTTTTGCGGTCGTATTAAAACTTAATTCCCCCCTTCGTATTCTGAACTTTGGTGATTATAAGCATTGTGTATAAGTTTCATAACATTTGGTTGAGAAAACTAAAGTTTAATAAGAGAACGGAAACGAAAAATTCAGCAATTTTTATGTTTATTAAGGGGCATAACTCAAGAATGGTAAAAATGATGCCACCATTCAGTATGCATTGTCTTGGTGGACCAAATTCTAGATGATTTTTATCTTTGGTTATTTTCAGGTCCAGGTCAGTACTGTGACATTGGCTAAATGAAATTTACTAGCACACGTTCATGAATTTGATATGGTTTATCAAATGTTGTAATGAATGATCACATGAAATTGTAACAAATTGCCAATGGAAGCAGTCACATGTCAAACTGTACATTATAATAGAATTGTCAAACAAAAATAAAAAAGTCTTGAGCAGACCAATGATACATGTGTCCAAAGCCCCCCCCCCCCCCCCCCCCTTTTTTTGGAATTTATGCCGGTTTTTCTAACCCATAAAAAAATTAAAGGCAAAAAGTAGACAAATTAAAAAAACTCATATTTCATAAGATACAAATTAATTTTGTCAAAAAGCCGTTTTTCAGGCAAAATTTGTGGTTAAAAAAAAATAGCCGAAATTGAAAATGCTGGTTTAAAGACAGGAAGACTGTGGAATCTAACCTCCAAAAATTTTGACAACCAATAAACATTATTGTTACAAATGAATTGCATAAGAATTATAAGAATTGAAGTTATCAATAAAAAACTCCATAAAAATACAATAATGAGAGAAGGTTCTCAGGTACTTAGGAAGGAAAAGCCTGTCAGGCTCCACTAGTACTAACCTTTGTAGTGTTCTAAAATAAAAAGCAAAGTTAGTAAAATTTCTAGTCTGTTTAAGACAACAACATATCTCGGATCATTTTTGAGAAGAAAAAAAACACTATTATTTTAGCATTTCTCAATACTTGCCTAAGTTATGATAATATGTTGCGTTTTTTTTTTGAAGGTACAAATGCCATTTATTAAGAAGAAATCTTTTGTGCCATGCTGTTAATTACACTTATATTACAAAGACAAATTAGATGGAGGATATAATGAAACAGCAGAAACAGAATATTTTCCAAAAGCAAATGTAATAGCTGTTGATATTTCAGATGATGAATCTTCCTTTGCTTGTCCTGAGTGAAATTGCATAAAGGTTTATACAAAAACCTCATGTCTTAGAAAAATATCATATATGCATAGGCAAGGGTGTATATGCCAACAAAGAAAATGGTAACTACATAGTGAAACTTCACTAGGCTGAGACATGTGTCATGAGCACAAAGGTTTCTCTACAATCAGTTTTGACAACAAATTTGAATATTGCAGAATGATGGTCTTTTACAGTTTCTATTAGCCATTGAAGCGTTTTAATAGTAGGGCTATGGAATTTTTACATGATATATACATAGAATGCAGTGCAACAGAAAAAAGACCAATTTTTAATCAAACCTTTAATAATCTAAACTATTGAGAAACTAGAGGTCCAGCAAAGTCGTCATTAGCTAAAATTGAGAATTTGAATATAGTTGATGACAAAGATTTGCAAAGCAAAATGTCAAGTGATGACATACTGGTACATGCTGTTTCTACAGACTTGGCAACATATATTACATACAGATAGCATAGACATTTCAACTTAATATTGATTCTTGTTGCAAAAACAGTACAGTGTAACAACAAAAAAATGCCACCATCATTGTATTAGTCAATTTAGTGTTTTACTTTCCTGTATTAATTCTCTTGATACATGTATTTTGAATAAATATAAAATGAAAATGATTGAAACATGTTATTTTATGTACATAAGAATCTGACAGTTTAAGTCTAAATGAAGTTAAAAATTGCTAAGGGGTCATTTTGAACTTGCTGTGAGCTTTTTGTACATGTTGAAAGCATCACTGTGACTTTTAGAGGAAGAACAGCAATAATAGCTCTGTTAATTTGCTGGGATTTTATCAAATAAATATCATAAATATATACAACATATCCCTCCTTTTTAATTTAGATATATATATTAATTGGTGATTTGATAAACTTTCTGTACATGTCTTATTCCATTGGAAAGATTCATACGCATATCCACAGTAGTGACCCAACCAGATCACATTTTCCAAGAACCGCAGAAGCAGATTTTTCTGCGTTAAATTCATCGTCACTTGCATTCATTTCGTATAATTATATAAAAACCACAACTTTCAAGCCTTTATTTACAAAGTCTTTGAAAATTAATACAAAAGCTATATGGAATTAACATCTTGAATGCAAAAGTAGAATTAAGACAACCAAAAACGTTCATGGTAGAAATGGTCAAGTACCTGAAGCAACGTGCAATCAAATATTATACATCATTTAGCTGAAATTTTCACGTTGAAGATGCCAATTTCAAAAATGATACATATATATATTATATATATATATACTATAATTCGCCTTTAATTATATATCCAATTAACAAATATTATTTACGTGAATATCATCGGATTATAATTTATTCTTACATTCTATCAGTAACTGTTGTTCATAACACTTTTTCAATTGCAATTAAAAAAAATCACTAAGCACATGAACAATGCATACGGAAAAGCTGTCTGCGAATTATTATAAGGGAAGACGATATAATTCAATAGCAGTACATGCATATTATTGAGATTTGGACAAAAAAATAATAGATTTTCTTTATAAAAATATGTATGACCTTGTATGCGTTTTTTACTTGAAAAATCAGCTATTATTAAAGTTAAAAAAAAACATGTTTTCATTTTTTGTTTAATTTGAAGTTTCATAAGACTTTAAACTCTTTGTTTAAGAAGAAATATATTTATGTATGCATATACGGTAAAAACTATGCTTATTCACACAAAAAAAAAATCAATATTTGAACTTTTCCGTAAATTTTTATTTTTCCCGCGTTTTCCGCTAACACTTTCTTGTAGTACATTGTAAGCCTACACTATGACGTTATGATACTGTAACGTCATAATACAGAACCAGTTTGGATGGAAAAACATGCCTTGGCACTGAATGTATATTTTTACGATTTCGCCGTGGCACTGAAAGGGTTAATTTTGTTTTATTTACCTTGTCACTTGGTGGGCTTCTTACCTGCTGGCCGTTGCCATTTTGTTTACAGGCGTAAATGACGTCATTTTTTATGGGAGATAACTAGTGCAAAAACCAAGGGGCTGAAAAGGGAATAATTAAGTACCTGTCCACCTAAGAATCATGCAGAGTGCTGTGTAATGGTGATTTATCAAAATAATTGATATTTGCTGAAACTTCAGTGATTAAAGCACCATGCAAGCAGGAAACCTTTTGCAAATTTTTATTGAGTTATATCCAAGGTTTCCGGAACTCTTAACACTAAAGTTTTAAATTCCCCCTCTAAGACTGATTTCTCTATCATTTTATTGAAATAAGTGACCCATTTAAACAAAATATCCCTAAGCAATTTTTATACACAATGATGTCAAGTGGAAGATTGCAATTTGTTGTTTAAAACTTCAAAAGATCACCAGGTGCACATATGCCCTATTTAAAAATACACTGGCCAAATGTTGTTATGAATATTCAAAAATGGACTAAGGGAGCTAACTCCTACTCATCAAAACAAACAAAATTATTTCAAGGTTAAGGTAATTTAAAAATTAAATTTAAGGTCAAATTAACTTCAAATTATATTTCAGTGTGGAAATATATGATTAAACATTAAATTGCTATAACTTATTAATTTTCATGAAAGTTTGTTTATTTTCTGCGGGACTACTCCCTACTTTCACTTTTGCCTTGAAAATGGCAGACGACACACTCATGTGGAATTTCAACCTTTCGAACTGATGAGTGTGGAAGTTATTATTTATTTCCGCATGAACATGATGCTATCAAAATTAAATGTTGTCTTAAGGACGTGACTAGTCACCTAAAGAGTGTTGGGGTTGCAACAGGAGGCTCTTACCGGCATTTTAGTTTGGGAGAATCTATGACAGTCAGAAGGTGAACTTATTTTGTATAGAGTCGGCCTATATGATGATCGTTTGTACAGGGATATTACAGTGTGTCCACATCATCGATATAAACTGGGTATCTATTTTAAACAAAAAAGAACATGCAGCCACCCATCTCATTCTGGGAATGGGAAAGCATACAGAGGAATTACAGTTCCTGAAAGTCGTGATGTTTTGCAGTCTTTTGGTGTCCTTCTTCCAGTGGGTACAGGTAAGTTAACAAAGATTTTAGATTTATTTAGTGCATTTCATTTTCCCTCTAATCTAGTAAAGAATAGTATTTTGTGAAAAGGTGGTACTTCCTTAAAATTCAATTTTCAGATATAATATGGATTTACAAGGTTAAATTCCTCATTATTTTGTTTTGAAAATTGTGACTATGAGCTGACCAGTGTTAAGTGCTGCATGCTTTATATCTTATATGAAATATGCCAATTTTATTTCATTGTATACTGCCATGGATGATGGATCAAATTCACAAGTACCCCTCAAATGACGCTTTCATGTCTTTCATGAGACATCTGTCAGTTGTAACTATTTAGTCATTTATTTTGTGACAAATATATCATGAAGGGTTGAAAGTGTAGGTAATATAATCATGATAATATGTCTATGGTTCAGTAATTTCACTTTCAACATAATAAAATCAAATTAATGTTTTTTTGCTGAACTTGTACACATTTTTGTTTACATTTAATTCACTTCATAGTATATATATAATTTTAAAATAAATCATGAGGATATATGATATGATTGCATGTGAGCATGATGAGACAGCTATCTTCCAAGTAAAGTGGTAGTAATCAATCAGATGTCTCTGTACAGCCTTCAACAATGAGAACAACTCATACTGTATAGTTAGCTACAATGTATCATGGTATAAACATGATAAATGGTCGGACGTGTAAAATGTTAAATAATTCAAACTAACATAGCATGACTAGAAAACTAATGACATAATTTATAAAAAAAAATTATGAATATTAAAATAAAATATGGCAGATATACATTTGGTATATGAATATTATTAACATGATTAATGATAAAAAAAACCCAGGTACTACAGTAATCTTTGAACGAAAGCACATTGTTGGTATTCCAATATGACCATTTTTATGAAAGCACACTGTTGGTACTCAAATGTGACTCTTTTCATGAAAGCACACTTCTGGTACTTAAAAACGATTCATGTAGTGAGGTCAAAATCTAACATAGTAGAATCAATAGAGTTTTACAAAAGAACCTTTAGATTATAATAAAGTTGTAAACTTGTCTGTAGTTTGCATTATTTTGAAATATTATATTCCAGGATTATGCAGAAGTTGCAGCAAAAAAGTAGCTCCTTCCACAATTGAGGATACAGAAGGTAATTATATTAAATTCACAGAAATAGATGTACATTTTGTTGAAAATCTTAAAGTTTGTAAATATTAGATGTTGTTTACAAATTGTTATCTGTGGCAGATCCAGAAATATTCACAAGGGACCCTCTGACTGCCCTAAGAGGGGGCCAACTCCATTGATGTTTCAGTGATTTCCTATATAATGATTAACCAAATTTTTCCCACAAAAGGGGGTGGGGGGATCCACCTATGGTTATTATTTATTTAGTCTTGGAATGATTTACATACATGCTGGAAATAGATATAGGAAGATGTGGTATGAGTGCCAATGAGACAACATATTATTTGCGATTTGAATTTAGATAATAACCACACTGGTTTGAAATTTTTTGTACAAGTCTTTTAAGTGTTATTGGAATTTAACCTCAGATTCAAGACATGTTTTTACAAGTTGATCGTTGTAGAGAGCTTTGAGAAATTTAAAACAAATAGTACAAATAGTCTTGCAAGTTTTAATACAGCCATTCAACCAATGGTATCAAGCAGATTTCTAAATATTTCATTTCATTTTGGCAACAGTTTACTTGGTGTCTCATGAGCTTTTGGCACAGCTATATATTTACTGTAAAAATTACAAGACATACAAATTCATTTAAAAAAATGCATATTTTTGCACATATATACAAGACTTATAGCAGCCGCTGAACACCATGATGCCTAAATTATTTGATAAACAAAATGAATAGAGATGTTTTATATTGTTATTCATTTTGTATGTTGCTATTGTGTAATTCTAATTTGTATTTACTTTAACATGTTTAAGATTAGATATTTCTCATTTATTTCTGCATTCAGATTTGGACACAACAGAGAAAGAAAAAACAGAAACATCCAGCTGTTTAAGCATAATGAATATTGTAAGTAAAATATGTCTATGTTCCAACTTCTTAAGCTGAATTAAGGTAAACTTTAAAAAAAGATTTATGGAAATGTATTAATGACAATTTTATTGAAAATCAGAAAAGTTGAAACACAGACAATACTTTCTACCCTTATGGGTTAATTGATAACAAACTCATCTCTAAGATATGAAAATAAGGTATCTGGTGGTACAATACATTTCCATTATATTATGTACAGTTTGTATAAAGTTTCTTCCTAATTTGGACAACACTTTTAGGGCACACCCCTACCACTTCGACTGGCTTCCCTTTAGCCAGAGGTACTACTTCCAATCGCGTCGGGAATGCCGTAAAGTGGTTAACCGTCGCAAAATTTCTAGGCAATTTCGGGATGGTATCTCTGTTTTTACATTTATTTAAATAATTTTGGTGTTGCTGGCACTTAAGTAATTTAACATTTAATTTTCTGAAGGCACGGAATGATGGTACATTTATTTCTCGAATCCTTTGCGGCTCTTCTTTGTACGTGGATTCTGCTGTCTGATCTTCGTTTGTTCTTTTCCTTTTATTAGTTTGTAGTTTGGCAGAGGTTGAAGGTATCGATTGATTGCTGGCTTCTTGAAATTCTGAACAATACCGAAGAATTTCAAGAAGCCAGCAATCAACCGATACCTTCAACCTCTGCCGAACTACAAACAAATAAGAGGAAAAGTGTTGTCCAAATTAGGAAGAAACTTTATACAAACTGTACACTGACATTGTACTTACAATCATGTTACACACATTTTTTAATTTACTATCTTTATGTACATACATTTGTAATTTTTTCATTTCATTCATACATTGGTAACCAGGAACAACAAAGACAATGGAGTAAACACATTATGACGTTAAAATTTAGATACCATTTTTTTATACTTCAGGGATTGTAATTTCTATATAATTTGTCCTGAAGACGCCGATCTAATCGGCGAAACTAGTCGACACAATAAAACTTGCAGTTCACTAAAGTGTTGTTGTCAATCCAGCAGTATTTTATTAATTTTTATTGACAACCCTGCATACCATCGGGTATCCTCTTTAGTGACTCTACCTTCACTTCACCACAAAGGCGTTGGTTCAGCAGCTTCATATTTCCATTATATATATATCCATTAAAGACCAAAAGTATAAAAATTTGAATAACTTGTTCTACATACTTTGACAATAGGCATTAACCCTTGTCAGATAATAAGCTATAAAAGGCCTTGAAAAGAAAATAAATTTAGCAATTCAAAAGCCAACAATACCCAAAAAACATTATGGTAGACAAAGACCTACAACTAATGGATAACATGATTCTGGCTTGGTACATGCACTTAAAAAATGTGATAGGGTTACACATGTTTTGTGATTGCACTTGCAAAAAAATCAAGTACACTGGTAAAAATAGTAGAGTAATTACTGTACATTCCCCAGTTGATCCCCAAAACTATTCTATAAATAATGATATTGACTAATTATTTAGATTTTTATCATCCCAAACAACATCATCATATTAAGGATTATTTGTTAAATAGAACATTTTCTTACAGGATGATGACTCTTCTGCAAAGATAGATGCACAACCCAGTACAGCTGAAAATGATTCCCTGACATTAAGTCAAGATGTAAGTACAAAAGTAAGGAGATGAGATTGATTGCCAATGAGACAACTATCCACCAAAATTCAAATGAAATTGATGTCAGCATTTGTACAGCCTTCAACAATGAGAAAAATCCATGCCATAATAAAATACTCCGCTGGGCGCAGCTTGAAACGACCGCAGAGGTAGAACCCTGAACAGTTGGGGCAAGTATGGACACAACATTCCAGCTTGATACAGCCCTGAATTTGGATTGTGATTAAATATTTGACACAGCATAGGTTTCTGACACAGAATGAATGTGGTCTAAGAACTTAAAAATTTTTAATTTACCTATTCAAACCATATCATTATTATTTGCTTTTATATATAAATCAGAAATAACCAATTTAAAATGGAAAATTTTAAAGAAAAAAAAAGGAAAAAAAGGAAAAAAAATCCCTCCCCGTAATTTTTTGAACCCCCTTATGATTCATCACCCCAAAACTCAATCCCAACCTTCCCTTTGTGGTATGGTACCTTGCAGTACAATTTCAGAGATCCATACACTTGAACACAAGTTATTGTCTGGAAACTAGAAAAAATGCTTGTTTAATGCCCCTTTTTGGCCCCAAATTCCTAAACGTTTAGGGCAATTACCCCCAAACTCAAACCCAGCTTTCCCTTTGTGATATGGAACCGTGTAGTACAATTTCATAAAGATCCATACACTTACACAAGTTATTGTCCTGAAACTAGAAAAATGCTTGTCTTTTGCCCCTTTTTGGCCCCTAATTCCTAAAATTTTGGGGCAATTACTTCTAAAATCAACCCCAGCCTTCCCTTTGTGGTATGGTACCTTGCAGTACAATTTCAGAGAGATCCATACACTTGAACACAAGTTATTGTCTGGAAACTAGAAAAATGCTTATTTTTGGCCCCTTATTCCTAAACGTTTTGGGCAATTACCCCCAAACTCAAACCCAGCTTTCCCTTTGTGATATGGAACCTTGTAGTACAATTTCAGAAAGATCCATACACTTACACACAAGTTATTGTCCTGAAACTAGAAAAATGCTTGTTTTTGCCCCTTTTTTGGCCCCTAATTCCTAAAATTTGGAGGCAATTACCCCCAAAATCAATCCCAGCATTCCCTTTGTGATATGGAACCTTGTGGTACAATGTCAGAGAGATCCATACACTAACACACAAGTTATGTCTAGAAGTTACAAAAATGCTAATTTTTTGGCCCCTTTTTGGCCCCTAATTCCTTAACTGTTGGTACCATAACCCCCAAAATCAATCCCAACCTTCCTTTTGTGGTATTGAACCTTATGGTAAAATTTCATAGAGATCCATTCTTAGAGTGCGAAAACCAATGTGTCTTCGGACGACGACAACGTCATCATGGTCATACCAATATACCACCGCAAATTTTTTTTGCGGTCGCATAAAAAGGGCTATAAAGGCCCTTATATGAAAAATAAGAAAAATTCAATTAAGAAAGAGAGATTTATATCATAACAATTTAAGATGAAATAAATATAATAGGAATGAACAAACAACAACCACTGAATTTACAGGTCCTTACTTAAGACCGACATATCAAGAAGGTGCAGGTTAAATATATGTTAATCTAGGACAGTGGTGTGACAGCCCAACATAACAAGAAACTGTAAAAATTAATTGCAATGATCTGTGCAATTCACAAAAGTTACTGACATTAAAATAATAGTTACAAATCACCATATAAAACTACCTGCAGTTACTGAAAGCTAGTTCAAAGCCAAAATCAAAAATGCATCAATAAAATTTGATAAAATTAATAGAATTGTATTAGATACCTGCCATGAAATACATATCTAAACGACACTTTTTAAATACAGTACAAAAATATGTATAACAAACAGTGGCTAATATGATCCCTAAATGAAAATCCCTACTGATTTAAGGTAACTAAACGGAGGTCAAGGTTAAGGTCATAGATTTTTCTCATCCAGAATATGCATGAGGTATTTTCCACTAGATATTAAGCAAGCAAACACCAATTGATCAATGTTATGTATTATAGATTTTTTTTTACGGAACATTTTCTTACAGGATGATGACTCCTCTGCAAAGACTGATGCACAACCCAGTACAGCTGAAACTGACTCCATGACATTCAGTCAAGATGTAAGTAATACATTTGATAAAATAATAGAATTGTATTTGATTTTCATACCAATAAAAACTGACCGCCACGAAATAGCCCAAAAGTGGGGCTTAAAAGTGGTGTAAAAACACCAACAATCAATCAATCAATCATACCATTAAATACATTAATCAACAAGACACTTTTCAAATACAATACAATATATATGTTATGTACCTTGGCAAGTTATTTAAATATATATGTATATAAACATAGAAGATGAAGATTCCAATTCATTTGAGGTGAATACATCACAGTTCAAGGTCATAGTTACTTGTGCAAAAAAATGTTTTCAGATTATTATTCAGATAGATTATATAACATATAGAAGATTGCGTATATGGTCAAATAAAATAAAAAGCAATATGTAAGGTCAATCAAGGTCAAATTTCTAAAAAAAAAATGATAGTAGTTTGTACAATAAAATGGTTTCAGGATATTTATTAAGACATTTCATATGGTACTGTAACCTTACATGGTATTTGTGTGAACAGGTTGTAAGAGGGAACTCCTTATTGATTATGTGGTCAAGTCAATTAAACATATTTACTATAAGCAGATTGCACATGTTAGCTTACTCATAAAAGTTATCTTAATGTTGTTTGTAACTTTTTTCTTTACATAGTTATCTCAAACTACTAGCTGGAGTACAGATGAAAAGAAAGGGGAAATTCTTTTAAATGATGTCAACACTGCCCTGTCGTTATTGTCGAATGGTAAGATAAGTCCATTGAAATATCAAGTCAGAACAGATATAGCCTCACTACATCCTTCATCAAAACATATGCTTAAACATAAAGCTACAACTGCCATTGAAGTATTGATGGATTGTTTGGCTCCAGGTCAAGCTAGTGAGCTAACAGAGTTGATGAAGATGGAGAAACAGGTTTCACCAGTTCCTGATTTAACGACCACAATTGTAAAACTGTATAATAACACCAATGATTTCAACATGAAGAAACAGATGATGTCAATATTGGCAAAAGATTATACTAAGAAACAGCTACAGGAAATGATTCCAGGCTTGACAGTTTATAGTATAGACCCGGCATGACTACATGCTTCAGTGCGTGGAGAAGGTATTATATAAACCTATAGCTTATAAGTATATAAGACAAATTTCTTAGATCAAGAAAGAGATGGGGAGTTTATGGCCAAATAATTTAATTTTGGATGTAACACGTCTTCTGATTGGCTGAAAGTGTTTTGTCTATCAGCTCATAGACATAATTTTGTCATGTGACCGCGACGTCATCAACATTTTTATCATGATTTACTCCTTTTTAGAATTAAACTATAAGAAATAACATAAAAAATGTGGTGCACACTTTTAAATAACCCGCTACGTGGGTTATTCAATGTGCACCACATTTTTTATGTTATTTCTTCATAGACAGAAAAAATATTACAGTCATTCCTTAAATGGTCTAAGTAATAAAACTACTGTATCACTATGCTGTTAACACTGAGGTTGTCAGTTAAAATCATGCACTTGGCAAAAGAATGAATCCATGGTAATATATAGTAACTAGTAACCAGAAGAACTTCTTTTTATATTGATTTTATTTGTTATAAAGAGACTGAAGTTATGATAGCTTCTTTAATTTTGTTTAAATATGTGCATACTATTTCTGTTTCAGGTTCACAAGTTCCAAAACAAATCAAGCAACACCGTCAGAGACTTTCACAGTGGAAGGTTGCTCATGCCTTGGATTTCTTCTTCAATCCTCTATTTCATCAGGTATATATAACATTTTCTAATGCAATCTTTATGTTACAGTTTTTTTCCTGTCTAAGATTGATGGTCTTTAATGCCAAACTTATAAAAATAAAAGGGGAATGTGTCCATGGGACACAGTGGATACATTCATATCATATAAAGTTATAAAGGGACATAACTGAAGAGCAGTGAAAGTGAAACTACCCAAATTTGTACTGGATCTGAGTTTTGTGGTAATAAGTATTGTGTATAACATTTGGTTGAGGCAAACTGAAGCCAGAGAACAGAAACTAACAATTCAGCAGTTTTTTCCATTTGTAAAGGGGCCTAACTCTAGATCGGTTAAAGTTATGTATATTAACACCAAGATGTTGTTAAATGAAATTAGATACCCTGCATTTCTCATGCTTTTCAATAACATATGATCAAATTGCTGAAAGACTCCCTCTGAAATTATTGAAATTACACCCAGTAACCATTGTATTATCTTGGTGTCATTTAGATACCAAGGAGGGTGGACTAAATTTGGCATAATCAGGGTTCGACACTAACGCTAGTCCGCTAGCCCGAGGCTAGTAAAAATTAGGGAGGGCTAGTAAAGTTTTCATCACAGTAGTCCGACGTGCTAGTCAAAATTTTGTTAAAAACTAGGAATTTCACAAAATTTTAATTGTCAACAAATCCCAGATTTTTTGCTGACCTTTGCTGTCTTTATTGTACAAAGTTTATTCACGTATATTTTGATTGTCAGACATTTTTTTAACATGAAAGGTACTTTTTGGGGAGGGGAAAGATACGGAAACAATGATGGTACTTAATACATTGAAAACCATGTGTGTTACAAACGCCGTGATGATTCTAATCAGAAACCTGGATCTCAAAAGTGCTTTCATAATATCAAAATAATAACATGAATACGAAATTTACATACATTACTACCGATACCATCACTGTTTGGGAAAAATTGTACAACTTATTGGTAGGAATTTTAAGCCATTTTTTTAGTAATTGGGAATTTTCTCTAGGGGAAAAAGCTGTATTTCGAATGTAATTTGAGGCAAACAATATCATTGAATTACTGTCATAAAAACAAAATTATAGGTCTCTGCAAGGATTTGTATACTATACATTTCCTTGGTCTCTGGTAAAACTATACAGATTCATAAAAACAAAATTATAGGTCTCTGCAAGGATTTGTATACTATACAATTCCTTGGTCTCTGGTAAAACTATACAGATTTTTAGGAATAAAATCTTTTCCTGCAAAAAAAAAAATAAACTGAAACAACAAGGGAAAAGAAGGAGTCCATGAAGAATTATGACAAAAAACAGCAAGGGCAAACCTTTCCTCTTTTGTGGGTGTATTTTTAAATCCCTAACTTATCCATCTTCATTGAAGACACTAGTAATAATGATAAGTAAAATGAGGATGATGATGTAATGATCGAAAGGGGTCTTCAAAATAATTCGAACACATTCTTAATATAGATGATTAAAATATGATTTTTTTTAATTTTTTTTTGGTATTTTTTATTTGCAAACCAGTGAAATTTCATGTAACAAAACGTGTTCAAAACCCTCTGGAAATGCTCCAGAACACAGGATTTAGCTTCATTTGTATCAAAATTTTCTGGGGGGGGCATGCCCCCAGTCCCTCCTAGATAGGGTCGTGCCACCGGCACGACCCGTCCAAGTGCCTTCGGCACTAGGAGGACTAGTAAATTGACAAGAGGACTAGTAGAAAATAATTTCACTAGCCCTGCAGGCTAGTACATACATTTAGTTAGTGTCAAACCCTGATAATGTATCATAATGAATACTAGTATATGTTTAATTGTATTGATTATTAGGTCAGCTCATATGGAACCAAAGAAATGAAACTGAATAGTGGAGAAAAGATTTTAATACCAGAAGTGGTTCGAACTGTTTGCCACGCCAACTTGGTCCATATGTACGAAGCCTTCTGTGAAGAATCAGATGTTGATCCACTATCCAGATCATCTCTTTTTGAAATTTTGAGGGTTTGTCCAGCTTCCAAAAGAACGAGTTTGAGAGGCCTAGACAATATTGCCACTGATGGATCCACAGCATTTGATACTCTAGACGAAGTCAAAAAGCAGCTTAAACTTTACTTAACTGAGTAAGTTCTTATTTGTATAGATGGAAAATAAAAGCTCAGGAATAGTCAAGGTTAATTGTTATTCTTATAAAAATGTCACTATTTTTGTAATTTGCCAAAGAGACAGCCAGTGATCAATTCACAGTACTCAAAATTGAAAATATGTATACAATTGATCTATAAATGATTAGCAACCAACCATTGCATATAGCTAGCTGTACATGTGATTGATTGCCAATTTGATTTAATCTGTCAATTCATGAGCCTGATTTAAGTGTTGCAAAATGAATTTTCTGGAAACTAAGGCTAAGAAAGATGTATTATTATGATGCTCACTGCATTCATATCATGATTTTGTCAAGTTTTGTTCTCAGTATATGCATGGTTATGGCCATTGTACTCTAGAAGAAAACATTTGGGAAGACATTGTTATACCCCCGCTTTAAAAAAATAAGGGTATACTGACTTCTGTCTGTCCGTCAGTCCGTCCTTTCGTCCCATGAATATTTCCGTCGCATATTTTTCAGGAACTACAATACAAGGATTTCTGAAATTTGGTTTCAGGGTTTATATAAGTCAGCTATACCGTGTGATGCATTTTCAGATTCATCACTCAACAACTTCCTGTTTACAGAACACTTGTATCATTTTACACATGATAGCCAAATTGAAAGTTTTCGTCACATTTTTCTCAGGAACTACAATACAAGGATTTCTGAAATTTGGTTTCAGGGTTTATATAAGTCAGCTATACCGTGTGATGCATTTTCAAATTCATCACTTAACAACTTCCGGTTTACCGAACACTTACATATTTTTACACTTTAAAAATTATCCACTTGAGGCGGGGGTATCATCAGTGAGCAGTAGCTCGCAGTTTCACTTGTTTAATTTTGCATATGTTGTAGATTACATTAAAATTCCTAGAAGCTTAAACTTAGTAAACATTGTAAATGTAATGCAACTAATTTTTTTGTTTGAATTTTAGCCCTGAAGTACAAGATGATTTAGAGAAGACTGAGCAAGATCTCCATTTATTTAAACTATATATAAAAACTGACTTCAAACTGCATACATCACTTGCTGACCAATGCCCTGACCACTGCATTATGTTCGCATTGTCTGATCCTAAAGATCAGACACTTCAAAAGAAATGTACCCACAGCCATAACATGGTTTGTGATAGATGTGAGCTCTTCTCCAGATCTATAATCAACCTCAAAAGAGTTACATCTGAAGAGAAAGGCAAGTATTATCTTACTGAATTGCAGGTTTGCTTAAATTTTTTTTGAACAATATAAAAATAAGGAGAAGTGGTATGATTGCCAATAAGATAACTATTCACCAAAGTTCAAATGAAGTGGATGTAAGCAATTAATGGGCAATTATTAGGTCTTTAACAATGAGAAAAACCCGTATCATATAGTTGTCTATAAAAGGCCTCAACATAAAACATTTGAAACAATTCAATTAATAAATAAAAACTTAACCTGATTTATAAAGTTTTTTTTGTAGTTTATAAACATTAAACATATTTTGTGGAATCTTTTTAAGGTTATTGGTCATTATATATAAACGTCTTAATTAGAAAAATAATCTCTAACTTTATTTGATTAAATGTTAGAAACTATACCTAAATCTCAAAATATATATCATGGTATTTCATTAATGTTCATTGAATTCTTCAACTTCAATACAAATAATCATCAATATTTAATTTATTTCTTTTATCATATGCAGATATTCCAGTGGAACTTAAGTCTGAGCTCCTTCAGGATATTGAAGTAGGAGAATGCAATATCTTGTCTTGGAAGCAGCACTTGGTTCGTTGTGCCAATCAAGATAGATGTAGACATGCTCTACTAGGCAGTTTGAAGAAAGAAGAAGTTTTTATTATAATGGACTGGGCGATGAAATTCCTGCTATTGTCATTTAGGGAAAAACAGTCTGACTGGTATGCACAAAAGGGCATAAATTGGCATGTGTGTGTGTGCATTTTCAAAGATGATGAAACAAATTTAAAGGTACTAAGATTACTTTTCATAGCTGATGTTATCAGTTACTTTATTATAAGGTACAATTGAAAAAAAAACAAAAAGTCTTGAAATCACCTGAATTAAATCCCTTTTACACCTACCAGTATATACATTACACCTTGTGAATGTGAATTCTACAAGCTGGTATATCAAGTATTTGATTTCAAGACATAGCAACTACGTTTCTTGTTGCAAGGTAACTTTTGAAACTGGAAAGCTGTACATTTCAGAAATTGTTCATCTGTTCAAGACTGTTGTCTGCTCTATGGTCGGGTTGTTGTCTCTTTGACACATTCCCCATTTCCATTCTCAATTTTATTTTATACAAGTTCGCCTAGGAATATACAATTTGATGTCTATGTAGCTTATTGTATGACCCTGTCAGTCAGGCACCTTAATGCTGACCATGACCTTTATTCATGATTCATTTTTTATGCAGATTCATAAAAAACTTTATAGGGTTTAGTTTTTCATTATTATCAAAAGTATTGTTATATCAGCAGTATTTGAGATATAAATTGACTAGATATGATAAGTCAACAGTATTCTTGTAATGTGGACATGTCAACTTTACTTGATTTTGTCATCATGGTCTAGTTAGAGTCATAGGTAAATTTCTCATTATCAATAGTTAGAAATTCTTTTTTACCGTTTACATCCTCATCAAATTTTATACTTTGGTAAATATTATAGGCTTAAGGCTTTTGTACATGAATATTTTGGCAAGACATTTTTGTGAGTCCAAACTTGTTGAAATTGTATTACTTTTAAAAGAGAGATGGAGTAAAATTGTTTAATTTTCTTTTCCTTTTACAGCATAGGACCTATACCCATATCTTTGACCAGGTGAAACAAGATTGGTTTGCAGTTGTGTCTGTTTTGGAACACACATTGAACACTTTGAAGAAACAACTCCCTTGTATTACATCAGCTTACCTCAGAAGTGATAATGCAGGTTGTTATCATTGTGGAAACACCTGGTTATCCCTTGATGGAATTTCAGAAAGAACTGGTATGATATGAATAGCTTCTATTGAATGACAATATATTTTTGTATTTCTGTAGAATTTCAAGGAAATGTAGATCATTCTTCAAATAATTGTTCTTACTAATTACATATGTTGTGAAGCATAAATTTGTGAAGCAATGTACAGAAAATTACTGCTTATATCGAAATACAGAAAACATAATTATAGAACATGCATTGGTTTTCAATTTAAATTTGATTTAGAAAAAGAAAACCAATATTTTCAAATTTTTATTGAACTCTCCAGAAAATTTAGAAAAAAAAAATGAAATATTTGAATAATGAAAAATATTACTTCATAGTAATAAAGGTCTGTGTTATCACTGTATAATTCTTATATGATATGCATACAAGAAAATACTTTAATATGATTGGTGGAGAGGGCTTCCGGTAGTGGATCATGGCGTTGTTTATTTTTCGATAGATGACGCTGACAGAACTACTTTTTGTAACCAATGTAAACAAGATTGCAGCAATAATAGCACAAACCAGCTTGACTTGAAATATATGCTTTTACATTTCTCGTTCATCTTCAAATTAAATTACATGTTTAAACAAAAAACATTTATTTGAAAGTAAATAAGATATTCTTTTAGTGTATTCTTCAAATAGCAAATTTCGTGGAGTATATTTTTTGGTGTTAAGCAAGGTCCATTCCATGCCACAAATTTACAATTTACCTGTGATAGAGGTTACGATTGGAGAAATCAAATTACTTATCTCCATATATAAAGAATTATAAGGATTAAACACATTTTTAAATGGAATTTATTGGTGTATTAACTGGACTAAGTCACTGACAAACATATCAAAAAAGACTTTTAAGTCCTTTGGACTTATATTTGTTTGTGAGTGACTTGGTCGAGTTTATACACCAATAAATTCCTTTAAAAAATCAATGAATCCTATAATAATTTTTGACAGAACAGTTATTTTAAAAGAGGACATATTTGTTTTAGCAATCACAATAAAGAGATATGACTTTAGTGAGGTGCAGGATGGTAAATCCTATTGTGATGCAAAGATTGCCCATCTAAGATGTAAGATTCGTCAATATGTTTCTTCTGGGAATAATGTCAAAACAGCAGGTGATATGAAGAATGCCATAGATTCATTGGGTGGTGTAATGGGCTGTCAAGCTGCACACGTCCAGATAAATTCCCAGGTAGCTGGAGAAGCCAGTAAGATCAAGAATACATGGAAAGGAATATCAAAGATTTCAAATATAGAGTCACGGTAAATAAATGCATTTTATTCTGTTCATTTCTCTTTTAACTGGCTTCACCAAAATTTATAAATTATATAATGCAAATTTGAAATTAGCTTCTTTAAATAAAATATTTCTTTCAAATGTAAAATGTTTACATGCTTCACAAAATAATTTCAGCAATAAATCTAAAAATTTGCATGCTTCATGCTTGGGTACGGTTTGTAATCATTTGATTTAGAAATTTATTTCATGGACAGAATTTCATAGTGAAATATTGTCCTGAAGGAGGGGACAAAATTTCAAATTGGTTTCAAGATATAACTGAGATATCAATTACAAATGTATATTTATTTCAGTATTAGATTAACGTTGACAAAAGGTGACCCCTTCAAAATATTTGTCGAAGTCCAATGAAAATTATCATTACAAAAGAATTGCATTAGAATATTCCATTAGCATACATGAAAAACTTATTGATATTATATTCAATCATTTTAAGGGGGAAAGTCCACCTCAATGAGGACAAAACAGAACAGTATAATGTCATGTTTGCCACAGATGAATGGACATGGAACTGCTGTTTTGCAAACATGTTCAAAATCAGCTAAATAATTCTGAAATATGATAAATCCAGGCCAGTGCAAATTCATCGACTACTTGGCATATTATGTTAACTAAAAAATATTTTCTTCCGACATGAAATACAGATATATTTATTGTTTTCAAGTGAAGTTCATTGTTATTTATTAGAAAAATAATCTACTTTATTTGAAATTAAAGTAGTATGATTTGTAAAGGTCAGTTATTTTTAATTTTCAGAGAAAAGCAGATCATTGCGTTTAAAGCCTTTGAAGTTGGTTGTGGGAATGTGTTGTCAGAAGAACAAATAAAGAAGATCTGTCCTTCCCCACTGTCTTCAACAGAAATCGTTGTCCTTGCTGACTTTGTTGTTCCAAAAAAGGAAGCAGGAAGCATTTCTTACAAAGCCCAGGATTTGGTTCCTGATAATGTTGATGTGGAATTGCCTGTGGAAAGCAACAACAATGAGACCATGCAACCATCATCTAATGTATTCTCATGTATAGAACCTTGTTGCTCAAGAGTGTTCCAGACTTACTCTGGTCTCGAGTCCCACATCCTTCTCGCAAACCACCAGATCAAGTTAAATCAAAGTTCCACTAATGACAACATCAAAATTAAGTGGAAGGAGTCTTGCTTAAATATTGCCGAACATGCCACAGTTTTGAGAGATTCTAAATTGACTTCAGGTACACCTTCATCAGATATGGGTTGGGCGATAAAAAAGGAAAGGAAAAATCAGAGGTTTACAGAAAATGTCAAAACATACCTTAGAGCTATATTTAACGCAGGTGAACAAAGTGGCAGAAAATCAAATGCAGATGATGTATCTAGGAACATGCGTGTTTGTAGAGATGAAAATGGACACAAAATGTTTCAACCAGAGGAATGCCTTCAACCTAGTCAGATTGCTTCTTTTTTTTCTCGCCTCTGTGTTATGACCCGAAATACAAAACCACAAACAATTGAGGATGAAGACTTGGAGCCGGCCCTTAATTTAATTGACACTCTGGAGGCTATGGATGTTTTAAACTCATAATTTGCATAAAAATGTACATTTAGTACAAATGATATTGCATTAGAATTATGTACTCAACAACAAAAGAAAAGCACCAACTCTATTGATTTCTTTGTAGTAAAAATGCAGCTTATTAATACTGGTTCTCTGTAACTATTTAAACTTTTATATAGGGAGTGTGGCACGCATGGTCATGGATTTTCTTCAAACTTCACACACTTACTAGTCTTGATGAAACAAACAAAAAATGGCAAAATTTTGGTTGCTAAGCATATCGGATGCCATAGCAACCGATGACCAGTGTTACCTCTTCTGGATATCTATGATTTTAAGCTGAAAATGGCTATTTTCAACATACTTTTTCATAAT